TTGTAGATGTGTGGCGTTGCCTCCGAGGCCTCTGTTCTGTTCCATTGGTCTATAATTCAATTTTGGTACCAATACGGTGCTATATTGATTACTGTTCCCTTGTAGTATAGTTTGATGTCAGGCAGTGTGATGCCTCCAGCTTTGTTCTTTTTGCTTAGGATTGCCTTGGCTATGCGGGCTCTCTTTTGGTTCCATATGAAGTTTATAGTGGTTTCTTCCAGTTCTGTGAAGAAGGTCATTGGTAGTTTGATGGGGATACCATTGAATCAATAAATTACTTTGGGCAGTATGGCCATTTTTATGATATTGATTCTTCCTAACCATGAGCATGGACTGTTTCTCCATCTGTTTGTGTCCTCTCTTATTTCCTTGAGCAGTGGCTTGTAGTGCTCCTTGAAGAGGTCCTTTACATCCTTTGTTAATTGTATTCCTAGGTGTTTTATTCTCTTTGTAGCAATTGTCAATGGGAGTTCACTTATGATTTGGCTCTCAGTCTGTTATTGGCGTATAGGAATGCTTGTGATTTCTGCACATTGATTTTGTATCCTGAGACTTTGCTGAAGTTGCTTATCAGTTCAAGGAGATTTGGGGCTGAGACGATGGATGGGGTCTTCTAAATATGCAATCATGTCATCTGCAAATAGAGACAATTTGACTTCCTTTCCAAATTGAATATTCTTTATTTCTTTTTCTTGCCTGATTGCTGTGGCTAGAACTTCCAATACTATATTGAATAGGAGTGGTGAGAGAGATCATCCTTATCTAGTGCCAGATTTCAAAGGGAATGCTTCCAATTTTTGCTCATTCAATAGGATATTGGCTGTGGGTTTGACATATGTTCCATTTTAATTATTGTGTGATATGCTCCATCGATACCTAGTTTATTGAGAGGTTTTAGCATAAAGAGCTGTTGAACTTTGTCAAAGGCTTTCTCTGATTCTATTGAGATAATCATGTGGTTTTTGTCTTTGGTTCTATTTATGGGATGGATTACATTTATAGACTTGCATATGCTGAACCAGACTTGCATATCCAGGATGAAGCCTAAGGTCATGATGGATAAGCTTTTTCATGTGCTGTTGCAGTTGGTTTGTCAGTATTTTATCAAAGATTTTTGCATCTATGTTCATCATGGATATTTGCCTGGAGTTTTCTTTTTTTGTTGAGTCTGCCTGGTTTTCATTTCAGGATGATGTTGGTCTCGTAAAATGAGTTAGGGAGGATTCCCTCTTTTTATATTCTTTGGAATAGTTTCAGATGAAATGGTACCATCTTCTCTTTGTACATCTGGTAGAATTTGGCTGTGAACCCATTAGGACCTGGACTTTTTTTAGTTGGTAGACTATTTGCTGCCTCAACTTCAGCCCTTGTTATTGGTCTATTCAGGGTTTCAAATTCTTCTTGATTTAGGCTTGGGAGGGTACAAGTGTCCAGGCATTTATCCACTTCTTCCTGGTTTGCTGGTTTACGTGCATAGAGTTGTTTGTAGTAATCTCTTATGGTAGTTTGTATTTCTGTGGAGTCAGTGGTGATGTCCCCTTTATCTTTTTTATTGCATCTATTTGATTCTTCTCTCTTTTGTTTTTCATTAATCTGGCTAGCAGTCTGTCTATTTTGTTTATCTTTTCAAAAATACTGGAGTACCCAGATACATAAAGCAAGTTCTTATGACCTACAAAGAGACTTAGATTCCCGCACAATAATAGTGGGAGACTTTAACACTCAACTGTCAATATTAGACAGATCAATGAGATGGAAAATCAATACGGATATCCAGGACTTGAACGCAGATCTGGAACAAGTGGACCTAATAGACATCTACAGAACTCTCCACCCCAAATCCACAGAATATACATTGTTCTCAGCACTGCATTGCACCTACTCTAAAATTGACCACAGAATTGGAAGTAAATCACTCCTCAGCAAATGAAAAAGAATGGAAATTATAACAAACAGTCTCTCAGGCCACAGTGCAATCAAATTAGAACTCAGGATTAAGAAACTCACTAAAGTCCATTCAACAGCCCTTTATGTGAAAAGCTCTCAATAAACTAGGTATCAGTGGAACATATCTCAAAATATTAAAAGTTATTTATGACAAACCCACAGCCAATATCATACTGAATGGTCAAAAACTGGAAGCATTCCCTTTGAAATCCAGCATTAGACAAGGAAGCCCTCTGTCACCACTCCTATTCAATGTAGTATTGGAAGTTCTAGCCAGAGCAATCAGGCAAGAAAAAAATAAAAGAGTATTCAATTAGGAAAGGAGGAAGTCAAAGTGTCTCTATTTGCAGATGACATGACTGTATATTTAGAAGACCCTATCATGTCAGCCCAAAATCTCCTTTAACTGATAAGCAACTTCAGCAAACTCTCAGGATACAAAATCAATGTGCAGAAATCACAAGCATTTCTATACACCAATAACAGACTAACAGAGAGCCAAATCATAAGTGAACTCTCATTCACAATTGCTACAAAAAGAATAAAACACCTAGGAATACAACTAACAAAGGATGTAAAGGACCTCTTCAAGGAGAGCTACAAACCACTGCTCAAGGAAATAAGAGAGGACACAAACAAATGGAGAAACATTCCATGCTCAGGGTTAGGAAGAATCAATGTCGTGAAAATTGCCATACTGCCCAAAGTAATTTATAGATTCAATGCTATTCCCATCAAACTACCAATGACCTTCTTCACAGAACTGGAAGAAAGCACTTTAAACTTCATATGGAGCCAAAAGAGAGCCCGCATAGCCAAGACAACCCTAATACAAAAGAGCAAAGCTGGAGGTGTCACACTGCCTGATTTCAAACTATACTACAAGGCAACAGTAATCAAAACAACACTGTACTGGTACCAAAACAGAGATATAGACCAATGGAACAGAACAGATGCCTCGGAGGCAACACCACACATCTACAACCATCCGATCTTCGACAAACCTGACAAAAACAAGTAATGTGGAAAGCATTCCCTGTTTAATAAATGGTGTTGGAAAAACTGGCTAACAATGTGCAGAAAGCAAAAACTGGATCCCTTCCTGACACCTTACACTAAAATTAACTTAAGATGGATTAAAGACTTAAACATAAGACCTAACACCATAAAAACCCTAGAAAAAAACCTAGACAAAACCATTCAGGACATAGGCATAGGCAAGGACTTCATGACTAAAACACCAAAAGCATTGGCAACAAAAGCAAAAAGAGACAAATGGTACCTAATTAAACTCCAGAACTTCTGTACAGCCAAGGAAACAATCATTAGAGTGAACTGGCAACCAACAGAATGGGAAAAAATTTTTGCAATCCACCCATCTGACAAAGGGCTAATATTCAGAATCTACAAAGAACTAAAACAGATTTACAAGAAAAACAAACAAACAAACCCATCCAAACATGGGAGAAGAATATGAACAGACACTTTTCTAAAGAAGATATTTATGCAGCCAACAAACACATGAAAAGATGCTCATCATCGCTGATTATTAGAGAAATGCAAATCAAAACCACATTGAGATACCACCTCAAGCCAGTTAGAATGGCGATTATTAAAAAATCTGGAGACAACAGATGCTAGAGAGGACATGGACAAATAGGAACCCTTTTATATTGTTGGTGGGAGTATAAACTAGTTCAAACTAGGACTGAGAGATAGAAATTCCATTTGACCCAGCAATCCCACTACTGGGTATATACCCAAAGGATTGTAAATCATTCTATTATGAAGAGTCAGGCACACTTATGTTCAAAGCAGCACTATTTACAATAGCAAAGACCTGGAACCAACCCAAATGCCCATCAACAATAGACTGGACAAGGAAAATGAGGCACATATATATATATATGTGTGTGAGTGTGTGTGTGTGTATATATATATATTTATAAACATATACACAAATGTTTATAGTATCATTATTCATGAAAACCCAGAAGTACAAATAGCCCAAATTTCCATCATTTCCTTCAGTTTATGAATGTTGTAAATAAAATGTAGTACACATATCTATGGAATGGAATATTATTCTGCCATAAAAAGAAGTACTGACATGTGCTACAATGTGGGTGAACCTTTAAAGAGTTATGTTAAGCAAAATAATCCAGTAACAAAAGACCATTTGTTATGTGATACCATTCATAGGAAATCTCCAGAATAGGCAAATATATAGAGAAGGTAGATTAGTGGTTGCCTAGGGGTAGGAGTAGGGGTAAGATGTGAGGAGTGGGGATAGGATGATAGCTTAAATGTATAGGATTTCTTTTCATTACAGCTTTATGAATATATTAAAAAATTGAATTGTCCACTTTAAAGAGATAAATTGTGTGATATATGAAGCATATCTCAGTAAAGCTGTTATGAAAATAAGAAATAATTCTAATTTCATAAAAAGCATTTTAGTGAATAAAAATGAATAAATATTTCTTGACTAATTTTATGAGGCCAACATGCTTTGAAAACAAGACCCAGCAAGGATGTTATAAGAAAGGAAAAATACAGGTCAATCTCTCTTACAAAACTAGAGGTTAAAATTCTAAATAAAATATTAGCAAACAAATCCCATCGATATAAAAAAATTGATAAAATACCACACACACATTGGACTATTTCCATAAATGCTCTTTCTTGGTTTAACATTAGAAAATCAATCAATATAATTTACTACATTAACAGTATAAAAACATTATGATCACCTCAATAGATGAAAACAAAAATCACTGGGTAAAATTCAACATCTATTTGTGTGTTTTTTTAAAGCATTAAACAGGGAAAAAAGAAAAATATCCTAAATCTGATAAAGTGTATCTACAAAATCCTATAGCAAATATCATACAGAAAGTTAAAATGTTAAAATCATTCCCTTTAGCATCAGTTCACGTAGCTCTATATAGTTTTACTATAATCAAGTTGAAATTGAAAATCCATCACCACCAAGCACCCCCTACCCTTCCTTCTTTATTGACTTCCATAGTATGTACAACATTCTCACATTTTTTATTTGTTTTGTCTTTCTCCTACTGCTAGAACATATACTACATAAGAGCAGGTATATTTATTATTTTGTCTACTATTGTGTTCTCAGCACCCTTAAACAGTGCATGCAATAAGTATTTGATATGATTTGGCACTGTGTCCCCACCCAAATCTCATTTTGATTTGTAATCCCCACATATTAGAAGAGAGGCCTGGAGGGAGGTGATTGGATCACAGGAGTGGATTGCCCTATGCTGTTCTTGTGATAGTGAATTAACTCTTACAAGATCTGGTTGCTTAAAAGTGTGTAGCACTTCCCCCTTTACTCTCTCTTCCTCCTGCCCTGCCATGTAAAGATTGTACCTGCTTCCCCTGCACTTTCTGCCATGATTGTAATTTTCCTGAGGCCTCCCCAGCCATGCCTCCTATACAGTTTGCAGAACTGTGAGTTAATTAAACCTATTTTCTCCATAAATTACCCAGTTTCAGGTATGTCTTTATAGCAGTGTGAGAATGGACTAATAACAGTACTCAACAAAAATTATTGAGTTAATCGAATTATTTTGACACTCACTCTGTGGTGAAAATTGAGTATCTTATTAGGAAAATCCTAATAGGCCTGACGAGTTCTATGCACAATGTCTTAAATAGTTAGAGTTATTGGGAAGCTGCATCAAACATAACCACCCTAAAACATTGGCTGGTGCCCTGTCAGATAGAGTTGGCACTTGGTCTTCTATATTCTGTTTTCAAACTTTCCAGCCACTTATTGATTGTCCATTGATCTTCTTTGGCTAGATATCTTTTTTATTTGTCTGGAGCCATCCCTTTTAATGGCAGCTTAATAGAGAACAAGTTCCCTTAACTGCTACTCCAACTGGATAAAGAAAATTGTTTTCTGAAGTTTTGTGGGTTTTTTTCTAGGTCCTGGGCATGACTCAAATGGCCTTACCTTGAAAGCAGCAAAACATTTTTGCCAGCAACCAGGCATTCCCAAACATCCCTTGACCAATGGTCATAAATTCCCAATGACTTCTCCAAGACCACCTTCAAGCTCAAAGAGAACTTCCCACAGGGCTCCACGTTTCTCTAATTGGAAAATTATTTTTTCCTATCTTACAATTTGAAATATAAGAAACATCTGTAATGTAAAAATATTACACACAAATATTTTAACCTAATTAAAATAGCTTCTTACTTTATAGTTGCCACTTAACAAAAAAATTGTGTGCTCAAATATCACTGTGCCATTCATTAACCCAAAATAAAGTTATTACAGAAAATATTATAGTATACCTTAAGGCCAAAATTCAAACAGCAAGTACCTGCTGATTTTCTCTCCCAAAACCAGTCCTGGAGATACTAGAAGAGTGATAAGGAAATTGATAGATTCTAGAACATAATATAAAAACTCTATGAAATCTCTGAAGAGATAAAAAGTAGTTGAGGCCAAAACAGAAAGAGTGGAGAATGGAGTCTAGATTAGCTGAGGGCCAAGAAACACTGTTCCTTAATAAGATACTGAGTTTTCTACTTGTACCTCTTAAATGCCTGTGTTAGTCAGGATTCTCTAGAAGGAAAGGATTAAGAGGGTAGATGTATATATGAATGGGAGTTTATTAAGGAGTATTGACTCATACAATCACAAAAGGCTGAAGTCCCAAAATAGGTGGCAAGCTGAGGAGCAAGGAAGCCATCCGAGTCCCCAAACCTCAAAAGTAGGGAAGCCAATAGACAATGCAGCCTTCAATCTGTGGCCAAAAGGCCCGAGAGTCCCTGGCAGATCACTGGTGTAAGTTCAAGAGTCCAAAAGCTGAAGGACTTGGAGTCTGATGTTCAAGGGCAGGAAGCATCCAGCATGGGAGAATGATGAAGGCTGAAAGACTCAGCGAGTCTAGTCTTGCCAATTTCTTCTCCCTCTGTATTCTAGCCATGCTGGCAGCTGATTAGATGGTGTCCACCCAAATTGAGGTTGAGTCTGCCTCTCCCAGTCCACTGACTCAAATGTTAATCTTCAGCAACACCCTCACAGACACACCCAGAACAATACTTTGTATCCTTCAATCCAATCAAGTTGACACTCATGATTAATCATCACAAATACCCATCTAAATAAACCATGGAGTATAACGAACTCAACTTTATGAACCTGTGTTTTCCATCCCCTCAAAGTGCAGGCCTTTGTTGAAGATTGATTCAACCTCAGTCTACCATGTTAGCTTCATCTCTGAATTATCATTACTCTGCCTAGCATGCAAAACTCAAGCAATTAATCATGATACTCAGCCACCAGAAATTATTGAGAGCTTACTGTTTTACAGCAGTGTTTGACACTCGATAAATAGATGAGCACACATACCACATAATTATTTGAGTAAAAAGCATTTCTCTCCAAAAAAAATAGATGGAATACCTTACAGAATGCAGTTCAAATGACAGACAAGAAACAAATGTTTCTTTCCTTCAACAAAACTGAGTAAGTCAGCCAAAGATAAATAAGACAGCAGATATGAAAGGAATACTTCAACATAGGCTCAACTCAGCCATGACATTCCATTGAATGTTCATCCGTGTCATCCAGAAAGAGAAAAATCCAATAGCAAATTCTGGTGAGGTTTCCTTCATCTCTCATTCATTTTTTCTAAATTCAGGGTGTGCTTACACTACAGAAATACATCAACAGAAGCAGCCACAGATATGTGCCTTGGAAGACATCAGTGGATCAGGCAAAGTGAATGCTCCAAAACCTTTCAACTGAGAACTGATACTGTCCAAACTGGTATGTGACTGCATACATCCATTCCAATACTTACTCACCATCTTCATCCAGCTAAGTGCTAGAGATGGAGAGATGAACTGCACTGTTTCTGACCTCAAGAACTTATATTGTCAGATGGCAATGACCAAAGAAATGATAAGTGCTTAAGATGATGAATACCCTAATTACACTGATTTGATCATTACACATTGTATGCCTGTATCAAAATATCAAAAATATATATTGTTATGTACCCATAATAATGGGTACATAATAATTAAGAATAAAAAAATTAAAAATAAGCCCACCCCTAAAAAAGTAAAACTAGAAGAATACAGTTTTCAAAAAATACATGTTGAAGTCAGACAGACAACATGTTTGGATGTTGAATCTGACTCTATCAGCTGTTTAGCAAGGCTTTTGGTCCCTGTAAGTTTTAGATTCCTTATTTAAATAATAAGAATTATAGCACAAACTTAACATAGATTTTATAAAAATTAAATAAAATTAAAAACACTTGGCCAGGGTCAATGCTTAGCAAATGCGACCTTCTCAGGCTCCCCACAGCAGTTGAAGGAATGGTGTGTGAATCTTGAAGAATGTGCCATTGCAAATGTGAAAAAACGAAATAAAATATATTCTGGTTGTTATGTTCTCAGAAAGCTGCGACCTGAATTGAGATTTTGCTTTCCCAAGAACTTTCCTAAGGGCCCTTTGACCTCCCCTATTCTTTAGGCTATGGCAGAGGGTACAGGCTAGGAATGACTATGGCAAAGTAGGAATGAAATTTTGTCTGTGTCCACGGAAGGGCCGCCTTTGAGCTGTAAAGACAGGAGGAGGATGATCCTAACCTTCACTACGCTAGTGAATTTGGAAGCACATGTAGAATCGTCCTTCTGCAATTATGTGTAGGGTGAGAGGATGAGGAGATCAATTAATGTAAACAGATATATGATCATAATACTTAAAATAGACAGCCACTGAAACCCATCAGAAAGAAAATGATTAACTCACAAATGGCAGGACTCAGAGCAGGATAAATATAGAATTTAAAATCTATTGTTATGTGGTAATTCCATTTTTCATATTCTGAGGAACTCCTATACTGTTTCCAGAAGGTTTTACAAATTATCTTACATTCTTACCAACAGTGCACCATGGTTCCCTTTTCTTTACACCCTCACAACACATTACCACTCATGTTTTTGATAATTATATATCCAATGGAATACTATTCAACCTTAAAAGGGGGAAATCCTGTTTATTTGTGACAACATGGATAAACCTGAAGGGCATCATGCTAAATGAAATAATCCAGGCACAGAAAGACAAATAACATATGATCACTTATACGTGGAATCAAAAAAAGAGTTGAATTCATACAAGTAGAAAGTAGAACAAAGGTTATCAGAGTTTGAGGAGGGACAGAGGTGAATAGGAAAAGGGGGGATACTGATCAAAGGGTACAAAGTTTCAGTTAAGGAAGAGGAATAAGGTTTAGTGAACTATTGCATAGAATGGTGACTATAATAAACAATAATTAATTTCCTATTTTAAAGTTGTTAAGTAAGTCAATTTTGAATATTTTTACCACAAGATAGTAAGTATGTGAGTTCTAGATGTGTTCATTAGCCTAATTTAATCATTCCATATGGTAAACATATACCAAAACATCACATTTTGCCTCATATATACACACAATTATTCTTCTTTAATTAAAAATAAGATTTTAAAACTTATTGTTTATAGTTATACATTTGACCTTATTGCTAATATTGTGCCTTCAACTATATCTAAAATGACAAAAATCATGAAGTAAACAGTTAAGAAATAAGGAATTCACAATTAAGTTTCCATTTTAGTGTTAATGTTTCTTGTAACAAAAAAAGCAACAGTTAAAAAATATTTATCCTGTAATTTAAATCACATGCCGATAGAAAATCTTATTTGCAATCTTAGTAGATTTATATGTGATAAAAGAAATTCAAATAATTATAACCATCTATATAGAAATAACACTATTCCTTATGCAGCAAAAGTAGACATAAGAAAGGGGCAGCCTGGCAGGGGTGTGAGTTTCAGTAGAAAAATTCAGCTACTAGCAATCTCTGGCCCAGCAAGCAGAGAGTTGAAGGAATAAAGACTTCAACTTGTCTTTCCTCCTGTCTTTTAATCACCAACTGACCAAATCCATGAAGCCAAAAAGACAGAGAGTCCAGATGATCTAAAGTGAGCCTCCTGTGGCATGGAGCACCAGAAAGATGGCAAAGCAGGATGTATAAGGAAAGACAGAAATGACAAAATGACATCTGTGACTGCATAGAGAATAAAATTCACCCTTCATATCCAGCCACCAGTATGTACACTATGAACGAGTCAATATGCTTTCCAGGGTCTAGCATACAGCAGGTGCCTCACAAATGTATATTGAAATAATAAGCCTATCAATCAATGAATGATGGAATTCAAGTGGCTGCCTGGCCAAGTCAAACTAGCCCACTCGTGGCAGAGTTAACACACATTCTGGAGTGCCCTTTAAAGATTTCTCTTGGATGTGGACCTAGTTAAATACTTCATGAATGAAACAAACACTGGTCGGCAGATAATCATCAACCTTCCAAGGGTTTTAGAGGTGCTTTTCTGTTTTATTTAAAAATAAATAAAAACATTCACTCTTGACTTAAAAATAGTCACAGAACGTTTATGTTCCATTGGATCCTCTCTCTTTTCCTCTCCCTTTCCCTTTCTCTTACTCTGTTGCATAGGCTGGACAGAGGAAAAATCAGAAGCTGAAACCTGTTAGAATACTATCTGCCTTTAAGAAGAAAACTCTACCATATGGAACAACATGGATGAACCTGGAGGACATTGTGCTCAGTGAAACAAGTCAATTACAGAAGGACAAATACACTTGATTCCAGTTTTATAAAGTATCTAAAATAGCCAAACTCACAGAAATAGAGAGTGAATGGTGGTTGCTATGGGCAGGGGGAGGGCTAAACGGTGGGTTGCCCAAAGGGTATAAAGTCTCCATTATGTGGCTAGTTACAGTCACACTTGCAATCCCAGTTCTTTGGGAGGTTGAGGTGGGAAGATCGCTTTATCCCAGAAGTTCCAGGTTACAGTGAGCTATGATAACACCACTGCACTTCAGCCTGGAGGACAGAGTAATATTCTGTCTCAAAAAAAAAACAAAAAACTTCAGTTATGCAAGATCTGCTATACAACATTTTATCTATAGTTAACAATACAGCATCGTTACAAATTTATGAAGAGTATTTATAAATAAATAAATAGTATATAGTATATATAAATAAATAAAATATAACATTTATTACAAATTTATGAAGATAAATATACGTAAATAATTATTTATTTATTACAGATTTATGAAGAGGATAGATCTCGTGTTCTTATCAAAATCTTAAAAAAAGAAAAAGCATATAAAGATATTTGCTTCTGACTTTAAAATACAGAATGTTTTTGTTTCCGTGGCTTCTCTCTCATTCCTTTTTACTTCTGCTCTCTAAGTGGGACAGCGGACAGATCAGAGGCAACTTAAGCCTGTGAGAAATAACTTCTGCAGCAGGTCCTGGGGATATGAGGGTCCCTCCTAAATCAGAAGAGAGTATCTTAAAGTTATAGATCTGTTGTAAAAAAGAAAAAATCTCCCAGTGTCCCTAAAATATAAAGACACACTTAAAGTATATTATGACCCAAGTAGAGAACCCACACAAGTCTGGGTGTGATTCACAAAGATATAAATATCACTTGCATAAAGGGTGACTCAGAGAAAAATAATTTAGAAAGAGACCAAGAACATTATTTTATTAACATAATTTCTTCTGGGAAAAAAAAATGAGGCTGAAATATATGACACTGCTTTCCAGCTTCTCGTCAATAATGAACTCCTAAATGGGGCTGATAGGAAGAATCTGCTTTAGATCATTCCTGTTCTTAATTACCTCTTCCATTAAATGAAAATGCTAAGGATAATGCCCACCTAATAATAACATGAATAATATTAGGTAATGTTTACTGAACTTTGCTGCGTTAGAAATCAGGTTGCAATAATTATGTCATGTAACCTCTACAAGCCTGATGGAAAAGATACTACTGTCTTATGATTGCTACTTTATAGATAGGAATTATAAGAGAGATATTTTAGTAAAGGCAAAAACAATATTCAAAACCAAGAAGTCTGATTTCAGAAGCCACAGCCTAAATACCGTGATAAATATCTCTTGATTAAAGAAGATAAAGCATATAATAGTAAGCAGTCTATATATGAAAGTGACTATATTTTGTCTAAGTCCTGCTTCTATGCATTCTACACTATTATCTCATGCTAGTCCACACTTGGAATTTCTTTGTTGTGTTAGTATTTATTTCAGTCTGCAGGTTTTTTCCATCTCTGCTAATAGGAAGGATCAAAATTCACTTAGAGAAGATTTTTCAATTCCTAAAAAGACTCAGCATCTCTTCAGCATGCTCTGTAAAGTTCAAGGCTCTGGACTGAAGCTTCATATCCTCTATGCATCCATGTGCTCACTAAATTCTGAAAGGAGGTTCATGAACCAAAAGAAAAATGGTTAAGAACCACAGCTCTGGCTCTGATGACAGAAGCATGACTACTGTCTCTATTTATGAGGAGTTGGAGTTTGGCACTTTTTTTCCAACTTTGAGCTTTCTATGTTCGATGCCAAATACCACTTAGATTTTTCTTCTGTCAAAGTCCTATGGAATATTGATACCACCACATGAGCTTTAAAATAATTCTATGTTGTTGAAAAGTCTAAAATGTTCGGACACAATACTTAAAACATCCCCATTTGAGAGATTTAAGTGTTCATTTGGCTAATAAAGATGCTGAGAAGTACTGTAGTAATGTAACAGCAAGCTATTTAATTTACCTGCTTATAGAAAGCTTTTTCCTTTGCAACTCTGTTCACTCCCCATAGCATTTGTGCTTGGGGGGAAGAAAACGCCAGTATTAGACAGAAGTGTGTAATCCATGAAATTCCTGGATTGTGTCCCTCTGGATACAATGCATCTCAGAGTTATACTCTTTGTCCATTTCATGCTAATTTTCAGGGCAGCACATACACAATTGGCCAATTTTCATAATTCTCATTAGCTTGAGTGTTCCATGAGAATACATTTTGGTCGTGTTTACCTTTAAAATACCATCAAACTATCTAGAATTTATTAGTTACAAATAAACACTTCTTGAATAAGTGAATTACTCAGAACCTTTTGTTTGTTTCATTGATGGTGAACTGAGTAAACAGCTGTTCCAATTTGCCCAGAATTAAGAAATTTCCTGAGGTTTGGGGCTTTCAATAATAAAACTGATTGTCCAAGGAAAGCTAGGACAAGTTGGTTATGCTATACGGTGGCGATTTTTTATTTTGTTGATTTTTGGTTTTAGTTATCCTATTGGTGCATTCTCTGTGTGTGTCCAGAATGTATCTAAACACTGGCCATGAATTAGCTTGTTTACTTCTCAGAACAGCCTCAGAAAATATGTGATTTCATCTCCATTTCACAGATGAGGAAATTAAGACAAAGGTTTCATGCCTTGCCCACAGATACACAGCCTTCCCCCACTGACTGGTTCTAGAGTCTGTGCCCTCAAAAACAAATTCTGCAGGTACAGCAAAGAGCATAAGGTCATGCAATTCATCTTTGAAAATAAGAGCTCAGGAATTCACATAGAAAATAATGTGGACAAGCACAATCCATTCCCTGCTGGGTGAGACAGAATGTGAGAGAAAGAAGTCTGGAAAGCCATAATCTTAACATTAATCCAAGAAGCAAGTGAATTTGAATTTGAGCTTTTAATATGTTATATACAGGCCAAGCAAGCTGAGAGCTATTTTTAGCTCTAAGTTACGAAATACAATCACATGGACAGGTGGCCTACATTTTCAGTTTTATATTTGGTGAGGAGTTTTGCAGTCAAAGTGAGAATGCCATTGCACTGACCGTGTTTGGAAAAGGCAGCTGGAGTCCTACAGATCTGAGCATTCTGAGCAGGAGAGCTAGCTGGTGGTGTGGAGTGGGAGATAGAAAATCTGGAGTCTAGACTCAACACCACCAGTCTAGCTATATGGCATGGGAAAAGCCATTTGAGAATCTTTTTTTTTTTTTTTTTTTGCCTAGTTTTCTCATCTGAAAAAAGTAAAACATGATGAGGAGGTAAGAATAGAGTAAAAGGCTTGTAGAGCCAGCAAAAGAGTGGATTGGTATCTTGGATCTATCACGTAGTATCTGTGTTTCTGAGCCTCAGTTTAACCATCTATAAAATGGGAAATTGGATTCATAAGTCACAGGTTATCATTTAGTAGAAAATGATGACGCTTCTTCATCTGCTTAATCCTTGACAAGTTGCTTCACATTTTTGGACCTTGGCTTTATCAACTATAAAACTAGGATAATAAACTAAATGTTAACAGGGTAATTGTGAGAAACGACAAAGGTGACAATGCCCACCAGAGCTCATAGCACATAGAAAACCCTCAGGAAGTATTTGAGGAGGGAGCAGCTTCTAAGGCTCTTTACATCTCTAGGAAATGTGAATTTTGTGCACACCAGCACTGTTTTCTGTTTACTCCAAGAAACAAGTCTAAAGATTTGGAATTTTATCTCTGATGTTCTTAGCAATACAAATCACAATCTTAAAAAAAGAAAAACATTATTTGGCCATCAGAAATTACCATAGAATTAAGAGTAGGTGAGGACAGCAAAAGAAACAAATAGAGTAAAAAGGGTAACCTACAGATTGGGAGAAAATATTT